CCCCTCTCCTTCCGCTGGAAATGTTTGTTCAGAGCGACAGCCGTTTTCTCTGGGCCTACTGAGGAGGCGGCAGCAGCGCCGGGAGCGGGGCCGGGGCCGGGGCCGGTGGAAGGCCTGTGGCGGCCTGTGCGGGGTACTGCTCCGTGCCGAGCGAAACCGCGCTCGAACGGAGGAATAGGCAGCTCCTTTATGCTCCTCTGAAGCAAGAACTTGTTTCCAGTGTCTAATTTATTCAGGGAACATACTCGGGATAGCCTAGTCGTAAGTTTTTGACGCTCCTGAATTTCCTTCTAATTCCCCGAGCCTGAAATCTCTCATGAGCGTGGAGCTATGTCTTTATGATGGGTAAATCACAAAATTTTACCTTTAATCTTTAAGGTAGATCTTTACGATAGGAGACTGACATGCAGAGGTAATTGCAGTCCTTTTTGCAGTGCTTGTATGAACAAAACCACAATACAGCTGCACTGCCTGTGCCCAGTCAAACGCTTGTCATAAGCCTCTGTCATCATGAGTGTCCTCCTTACGACACTGTGCCTGATTTTTCTCTAGTTGGATATATTCCCTTTAAGCTCTGGACCAGCACTAGTTTGGGATCCCAGGTACCAGCCTTCAGTTTATTGTGGAAGCTACTTCCTAATTAGCTATGCTAATTGTTTTGTTAGCATAGCTAATTAATTTCTCCTAGCTTTAATTTACTTCAGTTCTATTCATATGATCTCAGAATAATGTAAGCTTAGTAAAGCTTTGAGGATTGCTGTCTGAAACCATTAATTACTTTTCTCTCCCCACCAGACCCAAAGCAAAGTCTGAGCTGAGACCACCAACAGTTAGTTGCATTATTCTTCTATGAACTGGTGGGTTACTACTGGTGGATAGCACTTCTACCCAACTGTATTTCTGTCTTATTTGACTCTGACTCCTGTTCTCCAGATTTCAATTTCTTTGGCATTAGTCCTAAAACTAATTATTAGACAATTGTTTCTCATCTGCTTCAGATAAATGTACTGAAGTTGGGCTGGTTCAAGGATGATTACCTAGCCACATATGAATTTGGGCATTATGGAGCCTATACCTTATGGCTTTTTTTAATTAGGACCATTTCTCTCTTTTTCCCGGTCAGACCTTAAACCTAGTCGAGTGATTGCTGCCAGTATAAAGTTTAAATGTTGCCCCTGATATTACTAGCCTTTGTTATTTGAGATCATAACTTTCTGAATAGAAATTTTTCCTAGCCACTGGAGTTCAGGAAATACAAATTTGACTAATCTAAACAAACCCTGAATTCTAATCCATAATCTTTTTTTTTTTTACACTGTTACACATACAAACACACACAAATATAAATAAGTATTAAGGTCTGGCAGTTATTGTTATATTGCACACAGGAGTTTTGTTAGTTTCCTGTGTTGGCATAGTTAACCTTATAGCCAGGAATAATGACAGTGTAGTAACTAGGAAAGAGTAGATTAAGGTGGCAGAACCAAGAGAAAGCAACTGGTTCATGTTAGCATTTGCTAAACCTCTACTGGCCAGTCCAACCCTAAAGAAGCCTGACCTTAACTTCAGCTGCCTGGGTCCAGTGAGGAATGCTTGAGGAATATGGAAAAAAAGAAAGAAAGAACTGCATGAAAGATTGTTTTCTTTGTAAATCTAAAATTAAGATGTATCTTCTCAGCATTCCATTTGGAAAATATTCATACCTAAGAAAATATCTGTCAGCTGTTGTATACACTGTCTGCTTATGAATTTACTAAATTGCCAGTTAATCCTTGTACCTGGTCCCTTGCCAGTGAAAACACTGTGGAAATTAACGTTGTTGTTCAATTAACTCAGCATAATGTACCGGAAAGTTAGGCCCGGTACATAGGCCTCCATTAAGAGTGTTTTAGAAAATGTTTACTTTGATGGCTTTTCCTTCCCTTGCAAGCATTTGCTTAGCAACATCTGATATCTGTTATATAATATTTGCTCTAATATGTAGGTGTAAAGCAGCTGTCAACATTTTATCCTCCTTGGATCATCAACATAATTCTTGTCTCTGCATTATTACCAAGAATATATAAAGGTTTGGTTGCTTTCTGTTTTGTAGATTGTGGGTTTATTTTTTTAAAAAATATATTTAATAAATACGACTCCTCTGATATGTCTAAGATGTGGATGTAGGAGCTTCTGAAACAGAAAGGATGTAGGAGAAAATTAAAGCTTATTTATATTTGTTCTTAGGTGTTAGTTTTCATTATGTCTAAGGTACTTATCTTTCTATCTAAGCAGAAAGGTAATTAGCAGAATATGAATCAGCAGCAAAATCTTTAAAATGAAAATTAATATCAGGAGGCCTTTAGCATTTATAATAAAGAGGTTACTTTACTGAAACATTGCCAAGACATACCTTCACACATTATATTAGCAAAGTTTCTGGAGAGCCTAAGCGTGCCTGCGTGGTTCTGTCTCAAGAAGAGTTCAGCCTGAGCAGATGCAGCACTGTCCCAGCAGGTAGCATGGGTGGGTGGGTTTATATTGATAAATAAAACAAACGTGCAAGAAGTTATCGCAATGGTTCTGCGCATCCTGCATCAGAGAGGCAATTTTTTCAGATACTCTTGAGTAACTAACAGTGGTGGCTTTAAAGAGGGACTGGAAAGTCATCTATTTTTTTACTTGTAAAACTCTCCTAAGGACATTTAATTGTCTCTTGATGGAATCTTACTTATTGCAAAATATCTTTTGTAATAGAACAATAGTTATTTAGACTTAACCTCATTACAGTTGCTGTTTTAACTAAGTACTAGAAGATGGCTGTTGGTCAACAAGTTGACAATTGCACTCATGTTTAAAGCTAAATATTCTTTATAAACGAAACCGAAAAACAGAAGAAAATCTCAGATTCTCCACATTTTTAGATACTAAACCCAAACACTTAGAGTGATTTTTACTGTTGTTGATATTATAAGTCATACTTATCTTTAAAGGAGAGATGCTTTTGCAGGAAAAAAAAAAAGTAGCAAAAGGACAGTTTCTCTAGTAATAAGGTATGATAAGTTATTTGAGAGAGGTGTTTCTAAACAAGTGAGTTCTTGGGAAGGAAAGGAGAGAGGGAAAATTAATTCTATCAGTCCATTTATATGAGAGTTCCCTTGCTGGACACCCTGAAAAGCTATAAGCTCCACAGCTTAGCAAGAAACAAACCTCCCCAAATATTTGCAGCTGAAAAGCTAGAAAATATTTATTGTTGAAATATCCTGAAATTTTGGTTTTGGAAGGGTTTTCCTTGAAATCAGATTATACCGGTTGAAGTGAATAATTCAGTCAATGTACAGAAAAATATCATAGTAGCTATTCAGAAACAGTGCATAGAATTTTAAACCTCTTTTTGACTTTAAGGGTTTCGACATGGCTCAATGCAACTGGTAGCAATAAACATACAGGATTTAAATCTGCTAAAATGTTTCTAAAACCAGATTACTAGTAGCTAAAGTAAATGTGAGATTGTATCAGGGAGGTCTGTTAAGTCCATTTAATTGTCATGCCTTATTTGTTGAATCTACTTAATTTTTCCATGTGACTTCCCTGACCACACACATAAAGCCCTGTTAAGCTGTTAAGCAAAAACAGTTAAGCAGCTCATACCTTTGTCTCCACAGCTGGTATAGTTTAGTTTAAGTGCTGTGGAGAAAGCAGTAGGGAAGTGCACAGTGCATATATACAACTGCTTTTGTTTTCTGTTTTTATTTGTTTCAGATACATAATCTTTAATAGAAGATATGAATATATCTGAATATTAGAGCCTGATAAAGATCAGTGATCGTGCCACTCTTTTGATATCAGGTGGTGGTATCATCAGACTTTTGGTACCCATTTAATCTCTTGTGTAAAAAAAAGTTTTTCACGTAGCCACCTCACAAATGAACATAATAATTTCCTATGCTACAGTTATTAGTACTAATATTGATAAATCTGATGTACTAATACATTATTTGCTGTATACTCTTAAAATCCTGCTATCTGGCAGAATCGGTTTCCTCTTGGCTGTTTGCTCTGGAGAGCCCAAGTGCTTCACTTGGGAATACTTCAGGGAAATACCCATAATCATCTGTTCCCAACCTTGCTCTGGTTTGCGAAAAAAAAAGCTGGGCAGCGAGAGGGGGAGCTGCAGCAGGTCAGGCCTCAGCTCCTTCGGGCAGAGGTGTGTAGGACTTGCATCATGTAAGCATTGCATGAGAGTGGCAATACTGAGTGAGCTTCATCTTTATTGTGGCCTGGATTAACATGGCCTCTTTTACGAAGGAAACAATTGTTTTTCAGTGCTTTAAGGATATTAAAAATGAATCTAGAGCTCAACAGCATTGTTGATGTATAGGTGCTGGTTGTATTTTCCATGACTGAAAATGTGTTGTGCAAAGTATTAGACATGGCATGGAAGCCACGTTCTATTTCACAGTGAAATTTACAGCTTTAATGACAGTTCTGCGAAGACTAATTATTTGTGTATTCTTTCTATCCTTTATACAGGCAACACTTAATGAAGTACACACTAATGTCCATCCTGCAGAGAAATGAACTGTGAAATAATTCAAGCAAACATGTTCCAACTGTTCGTACAAAGCATTAAGTCACACATTGTGTTTCCGCAAAACTTTCCCCACAATTTGCTGCTGCTCAGCATGTGCTTCACTTAGTTTCCTCCAATTAAAATTTGCAAACAGAAAAGCTTTCCAGTGCTAACAGACTCATGTGCTTTCCCAGAGACTTGGAGCCACGTGTTCCAGGAATGGCTGGGTACACCACGCTGATACAATATAAAGGCAACGTCAATCACCTTCTCTCACTTTTTAATAGCTCCCCTCTATGGGTCTCATTCACCGTCACTAGAAACTTAAGATTAAAGGAACTTTGTTATATTTCACGTACAGTTTAATCCATTAAGATGGATCTCCTTCATAGCAATGGCGTGCTTATCATTCAGCATTTACAGAGGGACTACAGGGCTTACCAGGATTTCCTTAATTTTATGTCGCATGTTGGCGATCCCCGGAATATATTCTCAATTTATTTTCCTCTTTGGTTTCAGCTCAACCAGGTGGTTGGTACTAAAATGATATGGGTGGCAGTCATTGGTGATTGGTTCAACCTCATATTTAAATGGTAAGAAGTTGGATTTGTTTTAAAATTTGGTATTTTTAATGATAGTTACTATATGTGCCTCAAGTTTAGAAAACTTTCTGTGAATAATGTACTGACAGACTTTCCCCTGTAATTATAAAACAGAAGTTCACATGAAGATACTTAAGATATGTTTGAAATGATATTTTTATAACAACCTATAGAACTATTCTAGAATAATTTTGGCAATCTAGCTCTTCATAGTCATTGTAAGATTGTTTATCGTGCTTTGCTGAGGCCTTCTTACATAAAAGTCTTTTTATTGCATTTCTGTTTCACTTTATTTTTTTGTCAGGATTTTATTTGGCCATCGCCCATACTGGTGGGTGCAAGAAACAATGATTTATCCCAATCAGTCAAGCCCATGCCTTGAACAGTTTCCTATAACATGTGAAACTGGACCAGGTAAGAAATGTTGGAGATTACATTGGTACATTTAATAGAGATAGTGGCTCTTGGGGGGAGAGGATGTGACTTATGAAAATTTTATATGATATACAAATCTCATAGCTCATGTTTAAAATAGCACCACAACACAGGACCAGAAAAAGGAAAAAATAAAATGTAATAGGTATTTGATTGCTGTATGACAAGAATGTTTACTTCATTGCCTTTAAGCACTGCAAAGGAGGGGGATTTGCTTTAAAACTAACTACTACTAGAATGAACCAACGTATTGGAAAGGAATTTTCACAAAACTTTTGTCACAGGTTCAGAAAGAGTGATTCACCTCCTTTGTGAGGTCACTTTTAGGGACAGTTGCAGTGCCAATAATATCAGCTTGGGAAGATCAATTCCACGTTGTTTAAGAGTGTTCCAAGACAGAGCAAGGGGCTGTTGAGTTTGAGGGTTTGTGCACTATTGCAAGAATTATTCAAACCACAAAGCTAGTAGGTGGTTCAGTGTAAATAACAGTAATATCAACAACTGATCATGCAGTGTATCACAAGTAGAAAATGGAACTCCTCTTCCCAGAACCAGACACTGGCACTGAATGTGGGTATGTTTACAAATATATGGAAAAAAAAAATTTAAAAGTATCTTTTAAATGTATTTTCACTTTTTTGTATCTCATTGTCTTCCCTGTGGAACTCAAATGCAGTACTGCTGGAGTTAAATGAGCTTGCACAACCCTAAATATGTGAAATAAGGTAAACTTGCTTGGAGCCACCTGATTGAATTTAGCTTAATTAAGTACAAGAAATTGACTGTAGAAATTAATGTGCTTTTGCGCCTTGTCAATGCCACTGCAAGTTTTTAGGTGGTTTGCCGAGATGTATTTTCTTAACCATATCCTGCATTATATCCCACTGTAGTTTTGAATGAGAAGCTTAGGCCCTTGTATCAGGCAGGGTTTAATAATGCCTGGTCTGTATGTGATCTGTGGTCTGCTTCAAGTGGATTCATGTGAGACCTAACCAAAGTATTAAAGTCCTTCAAATCTTGTCAAAAGCCTTCAGAACTGAGGCCATTCAGCACCATGTAATTCCAAGCCCTGGCTAAGGAACCAGTCAGTGTGTTTCATTTTGATTCAGTGAACCAGAAGGTCTTTCTTCCTGTTACTTTCTTCCTCAAGTAACAAGTCATTCCTGTTTCTGTCCAGTGGGTACCACTGTCATATTGATTCCTTATTTGCACTTATAATGACCACATTTTCTGACACCTTCAGATTTGCCCTTGTACATTGACAATATCTGTCACTCACCTGTTCCTCATTAACAAGAGGAGGTGCAGTCAGGGCAGTTGTTAGGTGCACACAGTCATTGTGTGAGCTTACATGGTACTTCACACTTTTTAAATATGCAGCGTATATGAAAAGATGAGAGAAGCGGCCACAGACATGAGAAAGGCATACTCAGATATTGCTACGATAGCCTGAACCCCGAACTCTGCTGCTCAACAAAAGGAAAAGCTGAGGGAAGTGTTCATATGAGCACATGGCAAGCAATGTAGGACCTGAATTTGGTTTGTATTTCTGGAATGAACTGAACTAAAGCCTTGCAGCTGTCTTTTCTCTGGTATTTGTAATATTTAAGAACATAAACCTTAAGGTAGAGTTTATGTTGTTCCTAGTAGGTAATTTGCAGATGAACCACGAAACACTTTTCCTAGATGACATTTTCTTAGAAGACAACAAAGAGGAGCTTTCCCAATGCTGATATACAACATTAGGGTTTCCTTATCAGTGACATGTGTTCTATTCTGAGGTTTAGAAGTGTAGATCTGTTACGAAATTAACAAAAGAGTTGGTAGCATGACTACTAAAGATACTGCCAAGCAGAATATCAAAAATGAGTGCAGGGAGCCAGAAACCATTGTGCTTGTTCTCCCTAGCCCTTCCTTCTTTACTGCTTTGCAGAAATATTACTTTGGTTTGCAAACTACTGTATAGCGCTGGGTCATAACACATTCTTCAGCCAAAATTATTTCTTCTGCCAGTGAAATAACCCTGTGTCCCTTTTTGTCGCCACAGAAAGCCAAGTTGTAAATGTCTGGTATAGACAGATTCCAATTATCCAAATTTCTCTCCTTCCCTATTTCAATTTGTTGAATGTAAACCTGGTGAACAGGGGAAAAGAAGTGACAGAGTAATTTTAGGAATCATTTCCCTTGCATCTTGCCAGCATGCTTTGGTTTTTGGTGATTTTCACAGTTGCAGGAACTTCTCTGTGGCTTTATATTGTTTCCAGTAAAATTAAATTTTGATTCATCAAATGAAAACAAATTACGTGTATGTTATTGTAGCTGGACTAAAAATAAATCACTATTGAACTCTATATGAGAGTGTGTTCCCTGTTATAGACTACTGTGGGTACAGCAATTAGTCCAGTATGTTACAGCATCATTTCATGTGCCAGTTCCACTGCTATTCTGTTTCCAAGCTAGCTGGCATCATACAACACCTTAAAATTTATAAAATAAATCAAAGCATAAAGACACAGTTCTTCCATCACACTTCAGATACATTTCTAAATTCATTACAAAACTACCTAAAATGTGAATTGCCTGGACTGTAACATTACTGATGAGACACAGATCATAATCACAATTGCTAACACATGGTAACTGGAAAAGAAGATAAAAGGCAATTTGGAAGGGTTGTCTAAAGTTATACTGATACTTAGGAAAGTTACGAGGAGCTAAATCTCTTAATTATGAGGTATCCCATTCAAAACCTGTTTCATCCGATCCTCGTGTATAACTTCTATATTACATGTTACAGCCCTAAGAGAGCTCTAGATGCTCAATTTTTTAAATCACAATCCAAATCTAAGTAATGGAAAAATGCTTTCCCATCAAGATACCAGCTCACACCAATATAAGATGGTTAAGCTGTTACCTACTTGATTTTAGACAAATATTCCAGACTCTGTATAGATGAGTCTTCTGAAAAAATCATATTGAGAAAATTAACTTTTGAGGAGTAGTTGACATTCTTTTAGCCCTTCTTAACCGTTTTCTTTGTAAATTATTAGGTGCCTGAGTAACTGCCAGTAGACAATTTCTATACAACAAATGTTAACAGTCATAGTTTTTAAACTTTAATATTTCCTTTTTGTTTTTACTAGGAAGCCCATCTGGACATGCCATGGGATCTTCCTGCGTCTGGTATGTAATGGTCACAGCAGCACTTAGCTACACAGTTAGATGGAAAGATAAATCAGCAGTTACCCTTCACAGGTCAGTGTCTTTCCATTATTCTAACTCATACAGATATTTCTTTATATACATGCTGTGTTTTTAATGGACTTATTTTAACCAAATATTCATAGACTGTTCTGTCCAGTTTGTAAAAAGAAAAACCAAACAACAAAACCACAAAACCTTTATTTTGATCTGCTTCAGATGAAGAGAAAGAACATTGAGGGGATTGGTGTTTATTAACTTACAGTCATTGCATAGAGTATCTCTGAATCAGCTCCTGTTAAAGGTCGTATCGTAACATCTTCAGTGTTGGAAATTTTGGATTCTGTTAATTGTCTTTGTGTGTTGGATCGTTCGGTTAGTACATACATTTGCTGCTTTGATGGTGGTCCTTCTTACCCCATTTTAAAGGAAATGCAGATAATGTTGGCAAAGTTCAGTTGTAACATGTTACTCAGCTCTGTGGGGAAGTCTTATAATTGCTTTGATGGCTGTTATTTCCAAGCCTGGCAAGGTTGTTCCCATACTATGTGAATTTTGTCACCAAATAATTGAACTTTTGCATTTAAGTATGACTTCATGATGAGAAACGTGTTCAAGTTACTAGTGCTAATTTAACTTGCCATTGATGACTTTCATCACTAAAACCACGGTGGTGTCTTGGACATGAAACTACTGGGGTCTGGTCCTGCAGCCCTAGATGTGGCTGCAAGAGCAACTGTGGTTTTAGTACTGACTTACAGTTTTTAATCATCTGATTCTAAACTTGTCTACTTGTAAACTTCTGCTTGGTAAAATATGAGCCTGATACAAAGGGGCCTGGTGTAAATTACTAGGTGAAATATCTTGTCTAAAGCGTCTTCCTTTTCCCTCTTAGACTGACATGGTCATTCCTCTGGAGTATTTTTTGGATTATCCAGATCAGTGTGTGCATCTCAAGAGTATTCATAGCAACACATTTCCCTCATCAAGTTATTCTCGGAGTATTTGCTGGTAATGTTGCTATATTTTTCTTTTCTTTTCAACATATATGCAAAATCTGAAAAAAATGAAGTATAAGAAAAGGCAAGAGGTTTTTAGTAGTGCTTCTCAGCTTGCAGCTCTAGTGGTGCTCTCCACTCTTTGGAAGATCAAGGATTTGATGATAGTCTAGAGGTAAAATGTGTGAGGTAGTATGTATCTGCTGCCTTTGTAATTCACACAGGCAGTGAGCCCGTGTCCATGTGCCAGTTGATGCTGACTGCCACGGACTAGTGCTATCTGTTTGGTACTGGCTGCCTCTGATCTTTATCTGTGCTGCCTGTGTGAAAGGGATCAGAGAGGAAGTTGCTCCTATGTGGCCCTGACCTTTCCTCTCAGGAGGAAGCAATTTGGGTCACTTCAGACGGTGTCCAGGTGCAAACTGACATGTGTGCAGTGCGGACAAGCATGGGGCAAAACAGAGAAAAAGGCAAATTAGCAGTCCAAACTCCCTGGGGTGGATACTTAAATATGTCTCAAATGGGTATTTAGGGAGTTCAAACTATGAGTAATCTCTCTAGTATCTATCTGACTTGGAGGAGGGTGACCAGAGCACTGAGCGGGGGCTGTCTGCTCCGGTTCTCTTTCATGGATGCAGAGCAGCCTGGGCAGCACTGGCTAATGGCTTGCAGCCCAGCTCTCCCTGTTCACAGCCAGGATAAAATGAGTAAGAAAGAAGATAAGTGTGGTGTGTGTCTTTTCCTTCAACACTCAAAGCTTGTATGGGAACTCGTATTGGATTCCGCATTGCTGGGGCCAGTCTTTGAGTGATGGACTCTTTTCGAAAAGGAATGTTCTAGTTTACATTTAATATTTGATAGATTGTCATCTGGGAGATGCAGTCAGACCTCATAAGGTGTGCTTCATATCAAAAACATATAGTGCTTGGTATTTAATTTCTTTTTTTCCAAATTAGCAGTTTTGAGTGGGAGAAAAGGTTTTGTAATATACTACGGAAGCGGTAAATTTTGTGTGTGTGGTGCGTGTGCATGTATATACATATGTATAAAAAATACATAAATTCTTCTGTTTTCAAAAGACAAATTCTACAGGGGCACTACAGAAAGTGCTTCTTCAAAATACGAGTGTGTTGTTCCCTGTAACACTGAGTTTCTAATCCGCAGGCATTCTTGTGGCAGAAGCATTCCAGCATACCCCTGCTATTCAGACAGCAAGCTTGAGAATGTACATCAAGACAAACCTGTTTCTTTTCATCTTTGCCCTTGGCTTTTATTTAGTCCTCAAGCTTCTTGATATTGACTTGCTATGGTCTGTTCCAAAGGCCAAAAAGTGGTGTGCCAACCCAGAGTGGATAAACATTGACACTACTCCATTTGCTGGACTGGTGAGGAACTTAGGTGCACTCTTTGGCTTAGGTCTCGGAATTAATTCTGAAATGTTCATCATGAGCTGCAAAGGTAAAAATAGCTGTAAGATAAGTTTCCGCTTATTGTGTATAGCTGCTTCTTTAGCTACACTGCAGGTGTATAATTTTGTTAAAATACCTACTCATACTGAGTATTTGTTTTACATTCTCTCTTTTTGTAAAAGTGCAGCTATGCCTCTGACTGTAGTTGCCTTGGTTCCATACTGTGTCCACTCGTTAATGAGGACAACTGAAAAGAAACTTAATTAGATAAAGTTTCCAAATGGTTAGCAATGTGGGGATGGATATGAGCTGTTCAAGAACCCTCCGCAAAGGCAGTTTTACTAACTAATTTTAACCAAGCGGGATGCTGCTGCATTTTTGACGTGCTCCTGGTAAGTAACCAGTACATCCAAATCAGTACATTCAAGAATGACTTTAGCAACTCAGAAATATTAATTGCTGATTTTATACCTAGAAATATTGCAACCACACTGCAGTATGGTTAGAAATGACCCGATCCTCTGGGTCATAATGAAGTTTTAAAGTATAATCAATTACTTTTATTCAGCTACTTGGTGGTCTCTTAGTTCTGTCCATCTGCAGCTAGATGGTGCTTCAAGCCTCCATTGTACATAGTGATCCTAAATTTTTTTATACCTATATATTGTGTGTTAAACTGATAGATAATGGTGTGACAGTTTCACACCACCTACAACTGCACAGCTGTACCCAGGCACTGTGAAAAAGGCCAGCATAGCTTATTGAGCTTCCTGAGCAAAACAGCTTCTGATTAAGCCAGATGAGAAAAAAAATAAAAGTTTATTTCAGTTAGAATCTGTAGAATATATTTTTGCGTTACTGTGTGGTTTTTGTGATTTTTACTTTTTGAAAGTGATCACATAAATCATGAATGATAGAGATTATACCTTTGATATTGGAAATGCAGAAATATGGTGTAACAAAACTGGGTTCTGTACCTCTACACAGAGCAACAAATGAAGTTGTCAATAGTGAAATTATCTCAGCATATCACCTGAAGAATGTTGTTCATGCTCCTGTATTGCAAAGGTAAATTAGTGTAATTCTCTCAGGTCAAGAGTCACAAGCCTGAATCACTGTTAGCAGTTGTGGAAATCATGAAAATGTGATTGCAGACTAAGTCATTGCAAGTTTGTATTCTTGTCAGCTTCATTTACCTAAGCACACACGTAATGCATCTGTTAAATGTATGTTTGCTATATAAAATGGATGCTCTAAATAGGCAAAGTCAGGTACTTTCCCTTTTTATTCTTAATTTAGCACCTACTGTTACATATTCCCTTTCAGTGCACAATCTTTAGGCAATTTTGTGCTGATAGGATCTCATAATACTTAGTATACAAGCAGCATAAGGCTATAGTATGGGTAGTGAGGGCTGTGTATGTATGATCTGATAGCAATACGGCTTAGAAGATGTAAACATGATGTTGCTTCTAGAGTTCCAATTAGTTGTGGGATAATTGAAATGGAAAGAATCTTATCTAGTTGGGAAAACAAGGTGAGTAGTTTGAGGTGGCCCTTGGGAACGAACATGATACAAATTACAGAAGCAACTATGAAACAGGCATCCTTACTTAAGAGCCTGCTAAGATTACCTTGACTTAAGAAAATTAATCACTTGGTTTTAACAGTCAGAGGAGTATTCTGCTTTATGCATCTCCTGATATTTTCTTTAATGGTTCTTTGAACTTTCCCACAGCAGCTGGCCTGAGACTAGTGTTTTCTGTAACTGCGACTCTTTAAGCAAATTTACTAAGCTAATGGGACTAGAAACAAATAATGAAGAACAAAGACCGCAATGGCAAAGATTTCTCCTGTGTTCAGGTTGCTCTGTGCTTTGTTATTCGCTGCCAGTGAGGTGACCTACAGAGGCATCACAAAGCACTAGAAAGTGGGTCTGGCTGTCCTTCCTTCCATTCCTCACTCCTTCTGGCCAACAGTCAGGGATTCTTTGTGCGCAGTGTCTGTGGCTCTTGCAGCAGTGTTTGGGCCACTGGCACTGTTGGCTATTTTAAGCTGGGAGTTCCAGGTGGGCATCACATTTCTAAGCTTGTGCCACATGAGGGCCTGTGCTTTCTGTGCTTTGCTGACAAAGAATCTTGGTGTCTGTGTCGGGATAGACACACCTGTAAATGCACAATGACACCTCGCATTTCTGCAGTATTCTTCTAAGTGCTGTGCAGACATGTAACAAGACACGGGCTCTCATGCGCTTTCTTGGAGTGCCCTGTTAATTCAGCCTGCAACTCCAGTGTGTCAGGGAAAGGGACAAAGACCAGCTTCCTGTCTGAACCATTTCTTATTCTTTCTGCAACTATAAAAACATTACTAAAACCAAGAATGGTGGGACAACTGAATAGATTAAGTTAGTTTAATGTTACCAGTACTTCAGAAATTAACCTATTGGTAAAGTAATGGCAGTCAAATAAGACCCTTTCTGAGCAGCTGAGTGTGTTGGGCTATAGAGTTTTGTGCAAATGCCTGAAGAATCTCCAGAGAGGGCTCTCAAAACTTGAAACAGAGTTCGCCTTTTCCAGAGTGGTGGGATAAACAAGTGTCCTATACAATATTGATATTTTGATAGAAGTAGAATTGTAAATCAGGAACCAGCCATTTAGTTGATACAGTGAAGGCCTACATGTCCCTTAGTCAGGCTTTAGTGAATTTATCACAGTTGAAAAGTGTACTTCAAGCCTTATTTAATAAGATTGTGTGGCACCTTAACTAAGAGCTGTCAAAGTGCTAAACATTTAAACTGTAACTTCATCAGGCTTTTGCAGCTTTTTATATTGTTAATATTTGGAACAGATACAGAGCATATACACTTATACGATGATGGGCTGCACTACTCAACCTAGTTTGGGCCACAAGGCTCCCTTTTGAATTAAGCTTTTCCTGTGTGATGAGGATGGAAAGTATTTGACCAATCCCCTTGCTCCTGCTAATGGGACCCCAGAAGAAAGTTAATCTTTTATTCTTGACTTGGAGATGCCCAGATTTGGATAATGCAGTTTCAGAAGTCCTTCCATCTGTCTGCAGAAGGATTCTCACTAGCCAGGAGTAGAGTGATAGGAAGTAGTAGTTATAAATGAAAGTGTTCCTCACTCCTTACACAGATGAGCTGACAAGTTGGCATTACAATCAGTTCACAACACTTACTTTTGCTAATAGGCAGCTTTTCTTTTGTCCTCCCCATTCCCTTCCTGATGGAAGGACTCTGGCCACAGACAGGCTGTTCCTGCTCAGAGCAGTCTAGTTGGAGCAGGGGCTGTATCTGCAGAGCAGTTACTCAGGTGCCATCCCAATACTGTATCATGGTTATATTTATCCAGAGAAATGGAGTGCTTGGAAAACCAGAAAATGCAGCTGCTGTGGACCACGCAGAGAAAGATACAGCAGCACACCCCAAACAACTCTGTCAGCTACTTCTATCAAGACTCATAGTGCTGGGCTGGCTCTCAGAGATGTAAGCAAACACCTTTAGCTCTGCTCAGGGGTCTTGTCACCAACCTCCAGAGCTGGAAGATCTTACCTGTGGGACAGCTGCAGAGGAGAGGCCAGTGCAGCCCTGCACCCAGCAGTCCATCAAGGCTTGTTGCTCATGCCTAGACACACACAAGCTCCACTTGCCCTTTAGTCCCCTCACACAGGTACCAAAGGGCTTTATAATCAGCTGGTTGTCAATAGCACACAGGCATAGAGTGGCAGGAGATGACACTCAAGAATGTGTAATGCCAATGCAAATGTGCCCTGTGTACACTGTGCCCAATGTACACTGTGCCCTCTGTTATACAGGCCTGCTTCCTAATGCATAGCTCCCAATATTTACTAGCTGCCTGAAACTACGATGATGTTATGATGAAGAGCAGTAGCAGTACCGCCCAGCTGGGCCCATGTCACTGTGCTCCTGCAAGGAGATGATGGCAGGTTCCTTTGCAGTTAGTCACTAGTGTAGTTGCGTTGGCCTTCTCAACAGCTCCTTCCTACACAGTAGACCTTGGTACAGACATGATCGAAATACATACAAATACTTATCTGCTGCAAGATACACATGTGCTTGGCTGAAGGGTAAGAGATGAAGTGCTAAAGCACAAGAACCAGTAAAAAACACAATTTGTTGGTATAATTTGGGCCACTAAAGTGGTATCCTTTAGGCAAATGAATTATGAATAAATACAGGTAGTAATTGTAGTTTTTAATAAAGTGTAGTTGTTTTTCCATGGCCTTAAATACTAGTATAAATTAAATATCATATAGATATGTCAAATAGTTTATTGATAGTCACTGTCAATAGGTTCAGTCCTGAAACTAATCCAAACTAATTATTGCTCTGAAACATAAAAAGGCTAAAAAGATTAAAACAGAAGGCCAATAATGCAACTTCCTTTTTCATTTTCAGTTAAGGATTAAAATATAGCATTTCATTGGGAAAATAGCATTTCAGTGTCAGCTGTGTGATTTCAGTAGAGTCTGTTAAAGTAATTCTATTAATGGAGTTGTACAAAAGTTGAAATTCTTTTTTGTTGCCTGGAATTAAGGGATGTATCCTAATAACGTTTTCACCCTTCCAGCTCTATTCAAGTTTCATCAGTTGGTACTGTTGTGCAGTTTTATAAGAAACACCCTTATAGTGTGATCTGTAATAAAGTGGGTGAACCCCTCACCCCCAGCTGCAGATTTTAGGACATGGAGAATGACTTTTCCAGTTAATACTCTATTCTTCCAAATCAAGATTTAAATTTTGAAACTTTAAGTTAGCTTTTCTGTCTTATCTGCTTTGTCTCCAAGATCCCAGTCACTAAATGAAGGAGTCCTGTTGTCCTGCAGACAATAAGCAATAACATATTTCAGAGAAACATGCAGTATACTTTATAATAAACTGTTACAGATACACGCTTCTGCCAGAAGAATATACTTCCTGACTTTTGTCATTTCTGAATGAATTGTTGCTCTATTTATCAGCTGTGCTTAATAGAAACAAACAGCTAATTATGGCTAATTTTTCCCACCTTTACTGAATATATTTATGGTTTCTGTAAAAATACTCATCATTGTCTTGTCTTCTGAAAAAAAGAGAACATATTATCCATCACCATCTCAATAGAAGTGATTTAAATAACTGTGATAATTAAGTGTCGGATTTTACACTGATTTAACTAAAGCATTTATTCATATTCAGAATCTGTTTGACAGCTTCGATCCAAGTGGTGAGTGTAGGGGAAATGATC